CCCAGCCCCGCGGCAGCCGGGAGGGCTGGCCGGGCGCGCAACTCCGCGGGCGGCCGGGGGACCCTGCGGGGGAAGACCTGCCCTGGGACCGTCTTCGGTGTCCTCGCAGGCAAGCGCGTGTGTCTGAAATACCGACACGACCCTTCGCTGACTTCTCCGGTGCTAGAGGAGGAGCGGCGAGGGATCTGGAAGGTTCTGTCTGCTTAGAAAGTTCTCCAGACACCCTCCATCCCGCCACGGTAGAAGCAGACCTCGCCAAACAAACACCGAAGCAGTTGTGGAAAGGGCGGCGGTGCTGTCTGGGCTGTAGTGAAATTTCGAGGTAAGAGAGAAGAAACTTGTTACTGTGCGGCGCGGACTCTGGAGCGTCCGGCGATCTCAGCCCCCTTTCTGTTTGCTGTTTGTTTTTGTTTTGGGATTTCAGCGGAAGGGGAGGGAGGAGTGCGGTTCGCAGGTTGTGTTTGAGAACGGCGTGTAGGGGTGAGGATGGGGCGCAGGGTGACATAGTGAGTGCTAGCGTATCAGAAACCAGAGTGAATGCCAAAAGTTTCTCAGCCCACGAATCACGTTGGCTTTAAAAGGAGCGCCTGAGTGCTATGTTTAGGTGGACGGGTGAGGACTTGTAGGTCGCCTGGAATAATATTCTTGCCCTCCGAGGTCGAAGTGCCTAGTGTCCACACGGACCTTCCGGCCACGTAACTCTTCTCCAAGTCTCGGATGGTCGCGTCTATTATGCGATCCTGTATTTGATTTTGCGGTTTTCAAAGTTCCTCCTTCAGCCACAGACCATGAAATGGTGTTTTTATTTACGTGGAGATGTTAAATATCGGGGAGAGTTGGTCAAGCTGCCAGGTTATTTTCCGTTTGAAAGCATACTGATTTGACATTTCTAAATTGTGTGCTTCCTTTTTGTCTCAGTAAAGACTGCTTTTACATACCAAGATCTGCAAAATAGACATCCCTAGGTTATTAAGTTTGCTAATCAACGTAGTTTTGATAATAGCACCTTTGGTTTACAAAAAGAGAACTTTTCTAAAGAGGGAGTATTACTCTGGTCTGGCTTCCTCAGCGGTCCTTAACTGCAATGTGGAGGGGGAGGAGTGGTCTTCGTTTATTGCGGGATATTGCTTTTTTTGAACAGTGTTCTTATCATAGACTTTAATTTTACTTTTTAAGAGAGTTTGTTTTAATGGTCATGAAGTGAGGCTGCTCTTCTGACTACATACCCTTAGATTTGTTGGAGATATTCAATTTATTCTTATGTCCCAAATCAATAAAATCTTTGAAGATCACAAAATAGACAGTATTGACAGAAGAATGCATTAAGAGATACACCATTTTAAAACATCACTGTCTTTGGTGAAATTGCAATTCTCAAGTCCTCTCATTCCAGAACTCAGGGCAGAGGATTGCATTTCACAGCTATTTTCTTCTGTGGGAGATATTTTAGGGTTCTGCATCACACAGGGCCCTAGGAGAGAAGTGGATGATGCCGTGCTTCCCACAGTTCCCACATTTTCCGGCTAGCATCACGTGCTAACCATGCAGAGTGCCAGATGGCTTCTGTGGAGAATTATGACTGTCCAAGGCTGGGACCAGACGTCTGTTAAGCTTCTAGGTGATCCTCACGAAGAGGGGGAGGAGAGCATGGCATTCATACATGGTACCCACAAGGATCCCTGGTATGTTCTTGTACGCCATTGTACTTAATCTACCTTATAGCCCTGTGACACAGGACATTGTAGTCCCGGTCTTACTAAGACTGCCCTGGAGTCTGTGAATTACAGTAGATCGTGTAAAGGATTGATTTTTTCCCCTTTGTTTTATACCATCTCAGGAAGCTGCCGTGGTATACATTCTTTATACATTCTTCCATTTCTTGTCCATATTTTCTCACTTGCTGTTCACACATCTGATTTATATGACTTTGTGTGAGTATACCTTCCCAGTTACTGTTCAGGGTGGGCTTCTTGAACAGGTGGTCTGCATACTCTGCTACCCTTTATGTTGACAGCTACAGATGGTCACTGTCATGTCAGGTATCTTCTATCTTCTGCCCTTGTCCCTCTGCCACTTAGATGTGTTGTATCTGGCCAAGTCCAGAACGTTATACTTGCTCCATGAGGTTGTACTGTGAAAGTCTCTTTCCGAATTTATTTTCACTGAAGTGCCTATTTGTCTTTCAAGGACCAACGTTATCTTGGCCTGGAAGAAGTCTTCCCAAGGCTATACCCATATCCTCACAGCTGATAAGAACTTCTCCCCTGCATCCAATATAAAATAGCACACATCATAGTTTCTTTTTTCTTTTTAAATAATTATTTATATTATTATTTTTTCCCTTTAATTTGGCCAGAGAGAGAGAGAGACAAAAAGAGAGAGAGAGGAAGTGAGAAGGCAAGCTGCCAGGTCCAGGACTTGAACCATAGACAGCTGTGTGGGAATCCAGCGCCTCACCATACCACCTGCCAACCCAATCATAGTTTCTTAGTTAACCTTTATGGGTTAAAAATTGTGTTTGAGAAGTGGGCTTGATGTATGGCATAGAATATATGAATTGGGCGTTATGGCGTGTCAGTAGGAAACTGATTCCATATCAAGGTGTCAGAAATACATTCTGGGTGGCAGGAGTTCTTTCCCCGGATGGTGATACCTCAGCCCTGAATCAACAATGGCGTCTCAGATTTGGTTAAGAACTTCATGGTCATATGGTTGTGCTAAGAAGGGTCAAAATTCTGGCCGTGAGAATATGGGGGTAAAAGAGCAAGGAGCAGTAGATGGTTTTCTTCCGCCATCTGTACTTCTTTCCTTGGTTTCCGGCTGGGAAAGAGAGCCAACCTGCTTTTACTGCCACCTCCATCTGCATCTTACTAGAAGCTTTCCTCTTTCTAGACTGCTGGGAAAGATGGGAAAGAAAGCACCCAGCCCTTAGATGTCCTTATTGTGAACTCTGAAAAACTGAGTGAAAGATGTTCTTTGCTCCTTTATTCCACCACCCCCCCCCCTGCCCATAGCTAGATAAGACGAAGTGTGCTGATGACATCATTTTGTTTAGAGTTGCACTTGCAGGACTCTCTATGTTAATTTACTTTGTGTCTGGTTGGGAATGGATATCTATGGAAGGATGAGAATGAGGTCTCTAGTTAAGGAGATAGCCGAAAGCTGGCAGTCCCTCCACAGGTGGCAGGGTTCCTCTCGCCTTCCACAGCTTTTCTTCTCCCTGTGAACTGGATCTGCAGGGGCTGCACAGTGGCACAGTGGTAGAACCTGATGCTCTCTGCAAGGCTGACCCTGACCCACGTGGGAAGCTTCTGGGTTTGTATTGGGAGACTACAGGTGCCCATGATAGGGGCCGCTGAGACCGAGGACAGATCGCGGCATGGAGACACTGTTGGGCTTGCTGTCTCTCTTGCTCGTGGGAAAACAAAACAAAACAACACAACTTAAAAAACTTGGTCATCACTGATTTTCCCCTCCTTCTTTTAGACCAAGGCATAGGTACGGCCGCACAAAGAGACAGGGCTCCGTGAACCCTGTCGTGCATTCACTCTTTGTGGGATGGCTTCATGATGACATCCAGGTTCTCAGTGTTTTGGATAAAGAATGGAATGAAACATGTCAGCAGTGAAAGGAAAACGTAGTTAAGTAAAAGCAAAAGCACACTCCTGAAAGAAAGAAGCTGGGCCTCGACAGACAAAGTCAAAGGCCCTGGTAGTTGCGTTCGGAGAGGTTTATAATTTTTAAATCTAGGTCATGTTGGTTAATCATTGGCTGGGTCTACTGATTGTTCGCATCTGATTGGCTCTATCAAATGTAGGTGGGCCAACTGATTTCCTCATTAGTTATGTCAAATGTGGCTCAATCAGCTAGACACCCCCTACTAATCTGCCTATATTATATTGGGCAGGGAATTTCTGTCTTGTTTTTTATTCTAACTAGCCACATGGGCAGATGCTCCAGCCTCCTTATCTGCTTCCATTTTCTTGGAGTGGTTTTTGCTATAGGGTGTATGCACTTGCTAGAAAGAGAGACAGAGAGAAACAGAGACAGAAAGCAAAAAACCCCCCCCCCCCCCCGGGGGGGATAGCCATGCTGCAATCCCTTCTCCTTCATTCTCCTCTCAGGATCCTGAGCATGCACCACACGCACCTGGCGTGAGTTTAAGCCACCGGGTCCAGGACTCGAATCGCAGTCGACTACATGGGAGTCCAGCGACATAGTCATTACGCCAACTGCTGGTCCCGTCCATTTTCTTACTTTCTCCTGCCTCATTCTTACTTACCCTTTGCAAAAAAACTCAGAAACTCACTCAATTTCACCTAGATCCCTAAAACTACCAACACCAGCTCTTATTTTAGAACCACTCTCCACACTGAATGTTTAGTGTGTCTGAGAATTCTCTGGGTTGGCAGGTGACATCTGAAACTAGATTTTTAAAACTTATGGTAATTACTTGTCAAATCACATAACAATTGGTATTTTTTTGTAAGGAATCATTACAAAAGACGATTTCTTTCATAGCTCCTAATTTGCAATAATCTGGGTCATCTAATCAGGTATGTGGTTAGTTTACTGAAAAAGAAAGTGTGCCAAGAACCTGAATAACAAAATTATTTCCCTCTTTTAATAGTACAACCTCTTTAGGTCCACAGTTTCATGCACTTGTTTGCAAGCACTGGAGCAGGCCAAGATTTCATGCTTTAAGTTCCAGCTGCTCATTATGATATTTCTTAGGTTTCCGTTAGGCACCACTTAGCCTAGTTTGAGATACAAACAAATGCCTTAGGGGATAAAAAGTTCTTTTCAAGACTGCCACACTGGGAGGAGTCTGAAGCCAGCCAGCAGAGGGAAGAGGGGTGATAATCTAAGGGAGTAGCCCCAGCTGGAGGCTCTTACTGAGACAAATGCGGACAGAGTTTCTCACAGGATGTCTACAGAGAAGCTCCTCTTGGGTCATACTGATATTCTGTATTCGAATTTTAAAAATTAAGTAAAGGTTCTGCCTTTTAGATTTGTGTTTCTCCTGTCCCATGAGATCATGATGCTATATAAACTCCTTGTCTTTGATTTTGTGGCATCCCCTTAACCTAACCCACCAGATTTTCATGCTCACGGGTGTGAGCCCGCTGTTTCTGACCTTGTGGAGTTCTCTTCTTCAAACACATTTTATCACAAATGTTTAGGCTAGGACGACCGAAGGAAACCTTCCAACAATTTTATTAAAACCTCGTGTAACTCTTTAATACATAAGAGACCTTAATGTGTTAAGGGGTAGAGAAAGCAGTTAGGGAATCTGTACCTTTCCATGGTCAGTAGAGACCT